TATTGGTGCCTAGGGGGAGGAAAGAGCTGTTCCCCACTTTCTGGCTGCTTTGCCTCTCTCCACAGCCTTAACCAGTGAGCCGGGCACACAGGTATAAGCTTTTGTCCCATAGTAGCCGGATATGGATCCCGGCTTTCCACAAGCGGCTGGAATCTCAGTCTCTCCAGGAATTCTGCCTGTATTAAATTTCCAATCCAGTAATCATGTGAGTATCATGAAAGTACCATGAAATATAGGTTTTTGCTCCCAGAGCAGATCTCCAGAGCTAAGTATTCAGCAGTCGCAGGTCAGGGCTTGGGTCCTGCCGGGCCATGGCTCTGGTAAGTTACCCTGTTCCGTGAGGTCTGCTCTTTTCTCCATGTGTATGCAGTCCAGCGCTATCCTCTTTCTTGTTGCTCTCTCAGGATTAGTTGTGCCAACTATATTTTCTAATTGTATTCAGTTTTAGGAGGAAGCCTCTTGTCTCTCCTTTCATGCTGCCATCTTTAATCGGCAGCTATCAACTATTTTTAAATAAAGATCTTATTATTATAGCATGTCCGTAATAGCCTTTTAAAGTGATCTTACTCAAAAAAATTTTTGGATTACTGAAGTGAAAAACATAGAGACATAAAATAGCTCCCATAAAATTAGATTATAAAAGCTCACATGTTCCAAGTAGAAAAACTCATCCTTTTAACATAATGAAAGTATTTTATAAGACTAGCTTCAATTTTTAAACTACAGTATATTAAATTCTAAATATAAGCCTTAGATTTTTATCATCTGGTCAGTACTATTTGACAAATGCTTATCTTTCAAGCAAGAAACAGATGCTCTTGGGTTTGTATTATTTTGCAAAGTATTCAATTCATTAATGGGGTGAATAAAGGTCATATTTTGAGGATGACACAAGCTTGTGTATTTTGATTATATTACCTTAAATTTTCAATTTAACAAATAGAAGGTTAAGTATTTCAACTTTTAAATAATTTTTGTTTTTTCTTTTCAGTCGCTCCACCCACAAGGTTAAGATATAGTGTATTATCTCATGATAGTATACAGATTTCATGGAAGGCTCCAAGAGGGAAATTTGGTGGATACAAACTTCTTGTAACTCCAACTGCAGGTAAAAATGATCAACTGTATTTTCTAGAGTATTAGCAACTTTTTATACATAAGTACCTAAAAATGTGTAGTACTGTTGCTTTAAAATCACTTGAAAAATGTTTTTTAATTTAATATTTGTGCTTGAAATCTTAATCTCTAAGCTAGGAAATAATGTTCTGAATGTTGAAACAGTGACTATTGGACTCAAAATAATTCTCTTTAGAGAATGTATCCAGACTATCAAAAAAGCTCAGTTTCATATAAGGTGAATAGTTTTCTCCTATTGATACCTAAAAAATATGGTACATCTGTTGGCCAGCAGTTGTAACCAGCCAAGGAAATTATGATTAACTACCTTGAATAATATTCAGCAGTTATAGATTAAAATTATAAGAGCTAAGTAAATATTGTAAGAAATAAATGACAAAGCATGAAAAATATAAATTAAAATTATTGATCATGAAGATAATGCTTGTTATGTAAAATATTTTTTTAATTAAATTTTGGTTGAATCTTATTCTTATATTTTATATTTCAATTATAAAAATAAAGTCAATAAAAGCTCTGTAACAAAACAGAGCATGTTGAGGAATTGCCTTGCTCATGGGTGTCATGGAGACAGAGATCATTTGAACTAAATTGCCTGAGTTTAAAACCTGGTTCTGTGATTTATAAGTTATGTTACTCAGGCAAGTTATTTAGTCTTTGAGTGCTCTGATTCTTCTTCTGTAAAGTGTACAAACAATATTAGTACTCATCTCATGGGGTTGCTGTGAGACTTGGAACTGAAAATAGTCTGGGAATCCACAGCATCAGCATCAACATGAGAACAAGGGCAGGTATTGGGCCTCACCCATCACCTACTGAATCTGCACCTGAATCTTGAAAGATGTCCAGATGATTCCTATGCATACTACATTCGGGAAGCACTGGCTGTGAGGACAAAGTGAATCAATAAATGTGAAGTACTTAGAACATTAAGATAGGAAGTGCTCAAGAACTCTTACCCATGAATGTTGTAAAAATGCTCTTTAGTGTATCTCTTAGATCTCATTTGTTCATGTATGATGCATTTTCGCATAGTACATAATAAATACTTAACAATAACATGTGTATAATACACATTTATGTCAGTATTATAATTTTTTTCTCTTTATTGGTAATAAAAATAGCTATAAGGACTCCTTTCTGTTAGAGATCTTTCCCCAGTTCATGTAATGAGGCAGACAGATGCTCTGTTGTTCATAAATGTGGGCATCTTACTAGTTGTGGATTTAAAATCTCAAACAAAACAGATGAAACACCTGGCTTCTTGCTTGGGTACTAAGGAGGAACCTTCTTTTATTATCAAATACATAAGTTACTTAGAATGACATCTGGTTCAGTGGTACCAGATGCCAACTCTTCCCCTGTTGTCCTACAGAAGTGACTCATTTGTGGAAAGTAATATTGTATTCTCAAGTCTTCATTTTGGAGTATGGCTCAACATGAAAGTACCATGAAATATAGGTTTTTGCTCCCAGAGCAGATCTCCAGAGCTAAGTATTCAGCAGTCGCAGGTCAGGGCTTGGGTCCTGCCGGGCCATGGCTCTGGTAAGTTACCCTGTTCCGTGAGGTCTGCTCTTTTCTCCATGTGTATGCAGTCCAGCGCTATCCTCTTTCTTGTTGCTCTCTCAGGATTAGTTGAGCCAACTATATTTTCTAATTGTATTCAGTTTTAGGAGGAAGCCTCTTGTCTCTCCTTTCATGCTGCCATCTTTAATCGGCAGCTATCAACTATTTTTAAATAAAGATCTTATTATTATAGCATGTCCGTAATAGCCTTTTAAAGTGATCTTACTCAAAAAAATTTTTGGATTACTGAAGTGAAAAACATAGAGACATAAAATAGCTCCCATAAAATTAGATTATAAAAGCTCACATGTTCCAAGTAGAAAAACTCATCCTTTTAACATAATGAAAGTATTTTATAAGACTAGCTTCAATTTTTAAACTACAGTATATTAAATTCTAAATATAAGCCTTAGATTTTTATCATCTGGTCAGTACTATTTGACAAATGCTTATCTTTCAAGCAAGAAACAGATGCTCTTGGGTTTGTATTATTTTGCAAAGTATTCAATTCATTAATGGGGTGAATAAAGGTCATATTTTGAGGATGACACAAGCTTGTGTATTTTGATTATATTACCTTAAATTTTCAATTTAACAAATAGAAGGTTAAGTATTTCAACTTTTAAATAATTTTTGTTTTTTCTTTTCAGTCGCTCCACCCACAAGGTTAAGATATAGTGTATTATCTCATGATAGTATACAGATTTCATGGAAGGCTCCAAGAGGGAAATTTGGTGGATACAAACTTCTTGTAACTCCAACTGCAGGTAAAAATGATCAACTGTATTTTCTAGAGTATTAGCAACTTTTTATACATAAGTACCTAAAAATGTGTAGTACTGTTGCTTTAAAATCACTTGAAAAATGTTTTTTAATTTAATATTTGTGCTTGAAATCTTAATCTCTAAGCTAGAAAATAATGTTCTGAATGTTGAAACAGTGACTATTGGACTCAAAATAATTCTCTTTAGAGAATGTATCCAGACTATCAAAAAAGCTCAGTTTCATATAAGGTCAATAGTTTTCTCCTATTGATACCTAAAAAATATGGTACATCTGTTGGCCAGCAGTTGTAACCAGCCAAGGAAATTATGATTAACTACCTTGAATAATATTCAGCAGTTATAGATTAAAATTATAAGAGCTAAGTAAGTATTGTAAGAAATAAATGACAAAGCATGAAAAATATAAATTAAAATTATTGATCATGAAGATAATGCTTGTTATGTAAAATATTTTTTTAATTAAATTTTGGTTGAATCTTATTCTTATATTTTATATTTCAATTATAAAAATAAAGTCAATAAAAGCTCTGTAACAAAACAGAGCATGTTGAGGAATTGCCTTGCTCATGGGTGTCATGGAGACAGAGATCATTTGAACTAAATTGCCTGAGTTTAAAACCTGGTTCTGTGATTTATAAGTTATGTTACTCAGGCAAGTTATTTAGTCTTTGAGTGCTCTGATTCTTCTTCTGTAAAGTGTACAAACAATATTAGTACTCATCTCATGGGGTTGCTGTGAGACTTGGAACTGAAAATAGTCTGGGAATCCACAGCATCAGCATCAACATGAGAACAAGGGCAGGTATTGGGCCTCACCCATCACCTACTGAATCTGCACCTGAATCTTGAAAGATGTCCAGATGATTCCTATGCATACTACATTCGGGAAGCACTGGCTGTGAGGACAAAGTGAATCAATAAATGTGAAGTACTTAGAACATTAAGATAGGAAGTGCTCAAGAACTCTTACCCATGAATGTTGTAAAAATGCTCTTTAGTGTATCTCTTAGATCTCATTTGTTCATGTATGATGCATTTTCGCATAGTACATAATAAATACTTAACAATAACATGTGTATAATACACATTTATGTCAGTATTATAATTTTTTTCTCTTTATTGGTAATAAAAATAGCTATAAGGACTCCTTTCTGTTAGAGATCTTTCCCCAGTTCATGTAATGAGGCAGACAGATGCTCTGTTGTTCATAAATGTGGGCATCTTACTAGTTGTGGATTTAAAATCTCAAACAAAACAGATGAAACACCTGGCTTCTTGCTTGGGTACTAAGGAGAAACCTTCTTTTATTATCAAATACATAAGTTTCTTAGAATGACATCTGGTTCAGTGGTACCAGATGCCAACTCTTCCCCTGTTGTCCTACAGAAGTGACTCATTTGTGGAAAGTAATATTGTATTCTCAAGTCTTCATTTTGGAGTATGGCTCAATTTTGACTTTTTAAAATACAGTTTGTTTTCTAAAATAAGCCATCATGGGAAATTCAAGTTTAAGAGATTCTTGAACATCATTATGACTCAAATGATCAAAATACAAGTTAGCAATTCATGACACCTCTGAGAGTTCACCATATCTGATCTTGAAAGTTTTTTTTCTCTGCAGGTAATCAGTATTTTAATTTTTCTTGGTTAATTGCTGATAATATCAAACTGTGAAATACCCCAACCAGGTGTCATTGAGGAACCACAGAATCTTAGATGTGAGTTGAGAGGCCTCTGAATCTAATATCAGTCTGATCCTTCAATCCCCTTTCTACAGCATACTTAAAAAATAGACCTCAAGTTCTTGCTCAAACACCTCCAGTGACAAAATAAAAATTGAGGATAAAGGCAAATTATTTCTTCATGAAGTACTAGGTTTAGTTTCCCCAGTAACTGAATGTCCTTACACTACAGTGGCCTAAGCCAATAAGATAGTCTTAACACTGGTATCTACTTGATCAAGCATTAAATTAATAGAGTAAATAAAAAGAGTAATAAGTGCATCTAAACACAAAATGTTTGTAGACATTTTAGCATTTTGAGACATGTTCCAAGTCTTTCTCAAAGAGTGCTATGGTACTCTGGGATGCTAATAGCTATTACATAACCAAATGGTTTAATGGTCAAATAAATTTGAGAAGTGCTGTTTTAAACAGAGCTTAAAGCTTTTTTAATTGCATGATTGTCAAAGCCTTTAATAAAATAGTACACCCTATGACTCTCAAAGAGAGGCTCTAGCATACAGAGTTTTCTATGGAATTTTCTTTTAGTGAAACACGCATTGTGAAAGATTTATTTGGTGCACTTTGTAGTAGATAAGTTTTAAATGATAGACATTTATGAAACCAGATATAACATCTTGGACACAATGCATTGAAATAAATGGATTTTGGCAAGATGAAGGCCTAGTTCTGCCTTCTAGTAGCAAGCAGCATGGATGATAGCAGCATCAAATTTCAGGCTTAATGTCATTAATTGTATTAGAATATGAATGAAATATATTGTAATCTGTGTTTGGTTTAATTCAGCAAATTTCAGCCCCTTTTTGCTGTTACTGCTGGAGGGGCAGATGTTTTAGATTAATTTCCCCTTACTCAAACATAATAATCACTGCCAGAAATTAGAGAAGAAAGGTATATTTGGAATTTTGCATAAAAGTTGAGTATTTAATCAACAGCATTTTCCAGAAAGCCTCAGATGTCAATCTAATTTTATGGAGAGATAATAGGAGTTTGAAATCTTTTCATGAACCAAACTAACTTTTAAGTAACCAAGCAATGAATGATTGGTTCCTTCAACATCCTGAGCCAGTTAAGCTCAGGTTTAAGATAATTAGATTGCTAATACTTCAAGGATGTCTTGATTCATTTTAGAGAGGCCATAGGAAAAATTCCACTGTAGATAATTATATTCAGTTTGCCCACATCTTTCCCTTTACTTCTAAGTGGAATTCTTTCCTTGAAGAATATATCTGATGTTGAGTGCTTATTACTGTCTTTTAATCCTGTAGTATGGCTTTCCCTCATATATACAAGCAATAGTATGTTATGAAGAAAGATTTTTGTGAATGTGTTTTTACCTAATTTAAACTTTTTAAGTTTTCTAATGCAAAGGATACAGCTGAAAATATGAATGAATGTATATTATAAATGAAAAATATATTAAAATAAAGTTATGTACATAGCTACTATCATATATAAACATCTTTATCTTTTCAAATCTTCATTGCTATTTAATAAAATTTCTTAATGTACAAAGTTAATCTATTTCTTAGAAACAGTTTGTCTTTCTGTTTTGTTATAGGTGGAAAAACCAATCAATTGAATCTCCAGAACACTGCAACTAAAGCAATTATTCAAGGCCTTATGCCAGACCAGAATTACACAGTTCAAATTATTGCATACAACAAAGACAAAGAAAGCAAGCCGGCCCAAGGTCAATTCAGAAGTACGTATTTACAGGCTTTAACGTGCTGCCAAGGGACTCTATCCCAGCTCTGAGTTTTGAGTTTATTGTACATAGGTTTAAATCCTAGATTATTTAGCTCTTAAAAGACATTTAGTAGAATCTTCCATGAGTTCCTTCTATCACTTATCTTCTGCACCTCTTTTCACCTATTTCACCACACTCTCATTTATACTTTAAGGTTTAGTTTTCAAAGGCTTTCCCTGACCCTGTCCCCTGAACCCTTCGCAGACATCTTGTCTACCCATTGTGTAACTGGTGTTCAATCAAAACTCACCTACTGACTGAATGGATGACGTCTGCACTTCCTCTGTAGTTTCCCTAGGAAGTGCCAACTCAGCCTCTGCATAACCTATACAATGAGTAATGTAACTCTTCCAATAATCAATCAGTTGACACTTATTGTTGGCCTACTATGTGCCAGGCCCCATGACAGACATATTTGTGAACACATACAGCATTGTAAATATTAGAAAGAGAGAGCTACATTCAGGACTCTGTGAAGGGAGGTGCTCTCTCTGTCCCAATAATAGGCTAAGAAAAGAATGGGTGGGAGATGGCTTCATATTTGAGCCAGTTCTCAGATAGTAGATTGGGCAGACAGACAGAGCTGGGACATGTAGAGACATTTAAAGCAGGGGAGGGTGAGAAAGCTCTGAGGCAGCCTAATCCATATCTGCTCCATTCCATTAGAAAGCTTTTCCTTATATCACATAGGTTTAAATCCTAGATTATTTAGCTCTTAAAAGACATTTAGTAGAATCTTCCATGAGTTCCTTCTATCACTTATCTTCTGCACCTCTTTTCACCTATTTCACCACACTCTCATTTATACTTTAACGTTTAGTTTTCAAAGGCTTTCCCTGACCCTGTCCCCTGAACCCTTCGCAGACATCTTGTCTACCCATTGTGTAACTGGTGTTCAATCAAAACTCACCTACTGACTGAATGGATGACGTCTGCACTTCCTCTGTAGTTTCCCTAGGAAGTGCCAACTCAGCCTCTGCATAACCTATACAATGAGTAATGTAACTCTTCCAATAATCAATCAGTTGACACTTATTGTTGGCCTACTATGTGCCAGGCCCCATGACAGACATATTTGTGAACACATACAGCATTGTAAATATTAGAAAGAGAGAGCTACATTCAGGACTCTGTGAAGGGAGGTGCTCTCTCTGTCCCAATAATAGGCTAAGAAAAGAATGGGTGGGAGATGGCTTCATATTTGAGCCAGTTCTCAGATAGTAGATTGGGCAGACAGACAGAGCTGGGACATGTAGAGACATTTAAAGCAGGGGAGGGTGAGAAAGCTCTGAGGCAGCCTAATCCATATCTGCTCCATTCCATTAGAAAGCTTTTCCTTATATCAAATTTAAAAGTTGTTCACACAGGTCCTGATTCATCTGCCTTTCAGGAAATGTTCATTCATTCATTCATTATTTTTTTTCATTTAACAAATGTATATTTTTTGGCTCCTAATGGTCAGACCCTATTCTAGACACTGTAAACATGAGAAATGCCTGCTCCTACGGACCTTATATTCTCATGACCTGGAGAGGTGGCTCTTCAAATGTGGAGGGCAAAGTTTTGTGTATTGTAAATGCAAACGGAAGAGGCCTGTCCTGGTTAACTTTCTGTGTTACTTTATTGTTAAGATATACTCTTTTTTTAAAAACCCAACCTATTATTAGTATAATACTCAAAACACTTAGAAGGAAATGCTGTTGTTTTCAACTTGCTTAGCTCTGCTGAAATAATCTTAGTGAGACAGTCTAACTCGTTAGTTGGATAAATTACATGTAGGTTCATAATTTTTTAGCTCTGCTATTTTTAATGTAAGGATAAAGGGATTAGTTCCTCCCAAATAACAGTTTGTAAGAATGAAATGAAAATGACTTTGGATAGTTTCTTCTTCCATTTTGCATTTAAGTTACATTTTTGTCCCCTGTGAGATGGAGCTAAAGCTTGGTCTCCTCCCTGGAAAACTCCCATGATTGGATCCAGGAAAATGGTGATGCAGACAAATCTTGAGCATATAGGTTTGCAATTAGTGTAGCGTCTTGAATTCTTCATAAGGCCATATTCTGATACACAGGGAAGCGATTTGAGGCCATGGCCTGTGAGTGGGTGGGGTTGAAGATGTAGACTTGGAAATTATCCACAGAAGGGTGAGAGTTGAAATTGTGGATGATGAAATCATAGGTGGTGTGTACAGAGGTACAAGGCAAGTTTGATATATGATCACATTTCAAGAATGGAAGCAGAAAAAGAATCCAAAAAATGAGATTGTAAAGGAGGGGTCAGAGGAGTATAAGCAAACCCCACACAAGGCCTTTATAAAAACTGACAAAGAATTTAAAGAAGTGGGCATTCTAACGTGGCCAAGGCTTATAAAAAAATCGGAGAATGAGGTCTACAAATGGATTTAGATAATTAGAAGGTCAGTGGGAAAAGTAGTATCAAGGCATCTTATATTTATTATTGTGATTTTTAATCTTGGAATTTAATCGCTTGGTAGAAGAAAGCCAAGGAAGGTTTCTAAGGAAAGAAATCATAGAACTAGAGCAGTACAACTTGGCAGATGGCACGTCTCAGACCCTTTTAGCAAAGGGATGGAAGCCAGTAGAAAGAAGAGGAGGAGGAGGAGATGATAAAGGCAGAATTAATGGAATAAGAAGGCAGAAAGGATGAGTCAGAGGAAATCATTGCTTCCCCTACTTCGCCCACCCTCTGATAATTTTGCTGATTTCTGTGAAGTGAATGCAACAGCTAAGTGAGTTTTCTTGCCAATAGGATCACTTCTGCCTTTTCACGGGGTATTTTATTTGTGCAGAAACCGTTGCCATTTGGCAGTGGTCTCGACTGACTCAAACAACTTAAGGTGCCAAGCAATAGCAGGGATGTTGCCATAGAATTTTAAGCAGTGGGAAGTGAAACTAATGGAATAGATTGGTATGAATGTATTAAGGACCAAAGGGCATTCTGGGTCCCTGAATATTTCATAATGAAAGTGACAAAGAAATACTACTATTTATTAGTAGGGAAACTTCTTTTTTACTTTGAAAGGAAATTATTACAGAGCTCTTCACTTTCTATTGCAGGGAGACCAAGTCCAAAAGAGAATATTCCTGGCTAAGATCTTTCTAGAGCAGGGGCCAACTCATAGTCCTTGTCCAGAGACCTGAAGATAAAGTTCGAATCCTGTGCCAACACTTCATGGTTTATGTTTTAGTTACTTAGTTTCCTTGCCCCTCAACCCCTCATGTATGAATGGAGATAATTCTACTGATTTTATAGCAGTTATGAAGGATTAAATTTATTTATTTACATCTGCCCATGTGAGCACTTGACCAAAGTAAATTTTTACATGTTTTGTTACTTTGCAATGACAAGGCTAAAAAAAATAGCCATTCCAGTCTTTGGAATGAGATACTACCATGGAGCTAATTTCTACTTAATACTCTCTATACTTATGAAGGTTTTAGTAAAACTCACTGGATATTTTCTTTTACCATGCTTACCATAACATGTTGCTGTTGTTCGGCTTTTCTTCCAGTTAAAGATTTGGAAAAAAGAAAGGAACCAAAACCCAGAGTCAAGATTGTGGACAAAGGAAATGGGAATAAACCATCCCCACCAGAAGGTCAGACTTTTTGTTTTGTTTTGTTTTGTTTTAATCTGCTTATTTTGGGGATAGAGTTGTTTTCATAACACAGGCAACACACACACACTTGGCTGTTGGCCCCATCAAAAGAGCATGGATCAAAGATAAAAATCTCCTTCGGCCCCACTTCACTCCTTTTTTTCCTTACATGTAAGAGCTGTCCACCCTCCTTCCTCCTTATTCTCTCATCTTCAACACATCCCCCAATTCCAGTGAATTTATTTTCAATTGAAATACTGACAGAATGTGTTCATTTCTTTCCATGTCTGTGGCCAGTACTCAACTAAAGTCCCACTTCTTTCTTGGTATTCAGTATTATTTACCAAAATCTCAATTTGTTCTCTACCCAGAAGTTAGAACAATCTTTTCAAAACAAATCTGACCCAATGCTCTCCTACACATACCTTGAAACCCCTTCAACAGCTTCCCACTGCTCTTAGGAGAAAGGCCAGAATCTTCAACAAGACCAAGGCCCTTCATAGTATCATCACCTATTGACCTTCCTCTCCTTTGTCATCTAATAAGATGTCATCTAATAATTACAAGTATGACAAGTGCTGCCAAGGAGTTAGTTGTATAAGGGCCTATAATAGAATGGCTAGGGAAGGTTTCTGAGAAAGTAGTAATTGAACTGAGCTTTGAAGGAAAAAAAGGAGGTATCTAAACAGAGTGGTCATGGAGAAGGGGGAGAGCATTTCATGCAGAGAGGATAGCAGGTGCTCTGACTGTGTGGAAGAGTCCATGGTCTTTAAAGGATCTAAAAGAAAGCCAGTGGGACTAGAAAGCCATGAGCTGTCAATACGTATTATTTCATTTCTAAACATGGTGATTTTAAAAAAGATATTTATTTGTTATTAGTATCTAACAATTGCATTGTGGTAGGATTTTTTTTCTTGTTTAATTTGAAACTTGTTTAAATGGAGTCAGTGAGAAACATTTTAGTCTCTCCCTCTGAAGTATGATTTGTCCTGTTCTCTCTGTTAAATCTGACAATTTTGCTTTAAACTCGAGGCTGGGTACATGTAAAATAAAAGTTGTTGTATTTTCCTTGTGAATTTTTACTTTGTAATGATTCTCTTTATTTTTAGTAATTCAATATTTGACTCAGAGACTATTTTAATTTTAATGTAGCAATACCAGCTTAATTTTATTTACAGTCACATAATATATTGATTCTTTATCCTTAAATTCTCACCCTGTTTGTGTCCACAGGTTCAAAGTTACTAATCTTTTAAAGAGAATTTTGTTTGGATTTTTAAAATTATCTCTTACAATCTCTGTATTTTAATTGGTGACTTTAGTCCACTGAGATTCATTGAAATTTATAATAGGTTGGAATTTGCCATTTATTTTGTGCTTTCTACTGTTCTACATTTTCCCTATGCTCCTCCTTCCACCTCATTCACCTTATTTATTTAGAATTGATTGCATTTAAAACAATACATTTTCCTCCTCTACTCAACTAGAATGTATTTGTTCCTTTTGCATTTTTTTGTGTGATTATAGTTAAAATTTTAACATGCATATAGAACCAAAGTCTAAAACTATATCAGTATCTTTACCATTTCCCAACCAATATAAAATTTTATAATATTTTATCTTTGGTAATCTACCACCTTTATTTTATATAGCTCATGACAAATACCTTAATTTTACCTTATCTTTTTTGCATCCTGAACATCATATTTATAAATTATTATTTTTACAGTTATTTGTCCAGATTCTCCCATGTTTATAAATTTGCTCATCATTCCCTCTTGTATCTCAGGCCTTCTCTATATGTTTGATCTCCTTTAGAGAAAATCTTTGGCAGTAAACTCAATATTTTTCATATGAAAAATCTTTGTCCCACTCTCAATGTTGAAAGATTAGCTGGGTACCAGGTTGAGAGTTGTCTCTAATAATTTAAAAGATATTTCACTATATTCTGGCTCCTGTTTTTGACAAGTCTGTTGTCAGGCAAAATGTTATTCTTTTTCACTATAATTTCTCTTTTCTCTCCAAATGCTTTTTGTCTTTCTGTCCTTTGTCTTTGGTGTCCTATTGTGTCAATACAATGAGTCTAGTTATAGATTTCTTTGAGCTCCCAGAATTAAGATTTGTATCTTTTGCCAAATCTGGATAATTCTCAACCTTTAGCTCTTCAAATACACTTTTTCTCAATTATCTATTACTGTATCTTTCCTCGCTTTCTCTATATTCAAATTAGATTCTCCACAGTTAATTTATTTCAATGATTGATGACTTATGTCTCTTAATTTTCATATTGTCTTCCTGTTTTGTTTATTGACATGCTGGGTAATTTCCTTTGTCTTTCTACTTATACAGTAATTATCTCTTTTCCTCTTCTAATCTGCTTTCTAGTCTTTATTTTTCAGTGAGCAAATCTTCTATTTCTAGAATTACATTTGCTTCTTTTAACAGTTTGCTAGGAATTTTACTTTGAAATTTTTTATTTTAATATTAAAAAAAATATTTCAGTCACATTTATTTTATATTCTGAACTGAATAATTATATGAACTAAAGCACTTCAGGGTTAATTCTTTTCTTTTTTGTACTGGTTTTTGTTCCTGGCACTTGTTTTCTTGTTTGATATGTCACTTTGGTTTGCAAGCTCATTTGTGGGAATTCTTCATAGCTTGGTTTAGTAGGAGTGTGCCCCTTCAGAGAGGTGCTCTTTGGTTGCTCCAATTGGAAATATTTTATGTTAATTTCTTGTCTTGGATACTTGGATACTCAAGAATTTGTCCATGGTTACAAATTCAGAGACAGTTTTCTCTCCCACATAAAATTTAGGCCAATACAAACATTTACTTTGTCATCTCCCTTGTTGGAAAGCAGGTATTTCCCTAGTCCATCATTTTACTAAGGTTGTAGCCTTTGGTGAGTGCCTCCTTTACATGAGAAGTATCACTTCCTACTTCCCACGCTGAATACATCCAAGGTCTTGTCTCCTATTTTTGTATGACCATTAAAATTTAACTTCTTGACTTGTAAACATGTAAAGTCTACCAGATGTATATTTCCCTTTATAATATGTAAGTACTTTGTGAGAAGATGTTTTGAGACTATGTACTTTTTTCACATTAAAATTTTACCCACTTTTTTTAACATCCATTGATGATTGTTGCTTGAGTCAATTACTACTATAACATTTCTCAAATGGTAATTTTCCTAACTCTGTTGTTCATTCTGTATTTCTTAGGTGGCATTCTACTGTAAGGGAGATCTGTCCCTTGTCCCACATATATTTGTTTATATCAGTATGGACTCATGGAATCTTATTTTATGTGCTGGACTGTAATCTCTTGCTATCATTAATGCAGTGATCAGGACCTGGGCTAGAGTAAAACTTTCAAGGAAAAAAGTGACTTCCTCTTTTAGGTGAGGACTCCCATGAGGTGTGTGCAGGGGCAGTGTCTGAGCGGGAATATTGTCATAGGAAGTAAGTTGTAACAATGGTGGCAATCCAAGCCAGAGTTAGGGCTTCCAGGAGGCTGGGAGGAGTGTTAATGTGGCTCACTGGTGACCAGAGGCCTTCCCCACCTAAGCCTTGGTCATCACTTCCATAGCCCTTATTTCCAAGATGCAGGTGTCTCATGATTCCCCTTGAACTGGGCTGCTCTTTGTTTTCCCTACAATCTGCAATTTTTGGTACAAGAATCTACATTGATAGTGATGCAGACACAGACAGACATGGTTCACATGTTGTAGAATTTTAGTTTAAATGTGAAGAACTAGGATCTTCAACAGAAGTTGCTGGGCAGTTAAATAGTTACTTGTTTTCAATCTACTGTACATGTTTCTTCAATAATCCAAAAAAACCCTCCTGAGCAAAAGTGGTATTTGCCTTTGAGCATAATATTGGCACATTTGCATCAGTGGCTATTTCTCCTTTGCTTTGTTGTTTAACAGCCTTCTTCAGTTATTTTTGGTATTTTGCACAAGAATGCAGAACCTGATTGAAGAAGATGAGATGGATAGGAAAAGTAGCATAGGTTTCCCTTTCTTCCCCACTTAACTAAGAACTCTGATCCTCTTTGTTTTATTAATGAAATCTTTAAAAAGTTTTCTACAATAGTAAGATAAGGGGAGGGTCCCAGTACTCTCATTTTCTGGGGGAAAAATGAGATGAACTTAAGTTCTTTCCAGGGCTTGGCAAACTATAGCTCACCAGCCAAGTCCACTCCTCTGTTTTCTTAAATAAGGTTCTACTGGGACACAGCCATGCTCATTCCTTTACATATTTTCCTAGCTGCTTTCCCATAATATCAGATTTGAGCAGATGCAACGGCTATCCTATGGCCTACAAAGACTGAAATATTTCCTGTCTTGCGCTTTTCAGAAAAAGTTTGCTGGCCCTTGCTTTTGAATGTGTTGAAACAGAATCACTTGATAGACTAATTCATTGCTTTTCTGAGAACTGCTGGTTGATTTTGGTATTTCTAGTAAGAATTGCAAAGGATATATTCTCATAATATAAACCTTCAAGGCTCCTATGTCTCATGTACCTGCGTTTGATTTTTTTCTTACCTGAATCATGACAACTCTCAAAAATGAGTTGTGAGGATTAAGTGAGTTAATATGTATAAAGTACCTAGAATATAGTGCTATGTAAGTTTTACTATTAATAGTACAATGTATAGTTTGCATGAACTGATAGAATCATAGAGAAATCTTTTATATTATTGATTTAATAACAAATACATAGAGGTTTGGTGATTTCCCCCTAGTGCTGAGCACTGAGTTAGGCACTGGGAATTAACTAGTGGTCATAGCAGGCAGGTCCACCCTCATGAAATTAATGTGGTCTAGCCGGACTCAACACCTGTGTTCAGTACCTTCTCTTGGAAAAGAGTCAGTTCTGACTTACAAATAGTCATTATGGTTGAGCATAGCCAAGACACCTGATTATTCTCAAGGCATATTTTTCATATACTGGGATTTTTCACTTTGTATTAATACTTTTATGGTTCTT